TATATATATATATATATATATATATATATATATATATATATATATATATATATATATATATATATATATATATATATATATATATATATATATATTATTAAGTGTTTATTAATAATACAACTGTAATCACATTGTTTATTTACGTTTATGATATTATAATGAACAAGTCCGCTTAATCGTGGACAACTGTAAACAGCATAAAAGGTCAAGCGGTATGGAAATACCAAAAACATTTTTGGGAAAAATGAAAGCCAGATCACTTTTAATTAACGCTTTTGATTTTTCTATCCTACACACTACCATACCACATGATAAATTGAAGCTATGCATTAAGAACATTGTCCACCAGGAATATTTTATCAAAAACAGTTTTGTCGAGTTTGGATGACATATTTTTGTATTGGCTTTCTAATTGGAACAAATTATGCTCCCTTGCTAGCTGATTTTATTTCTCATTCAAATGAAGCTGAATTTGGAGAGAATTAGTTATAATAACGAAAGGTACGAAAAAGCCAAATTCTTACATTTTACAATTCGATATACTGTTAATTTTGGGGTAGTTTTAACATGATTATTGGTAGAATATTCAATGTAGGACTGACTTAAAAGTTTTTGCATGTAAATGTGATATATTGAAGGTATATATGACATTGATTATTCAGTTATATATAAAGCATTCTGTTAACATTTGGAATGTGTGTTAACATGCCAACTGGTGTTGTTGGGTTGTTTATGATTAAGTTGTCTATTTTAACTCGGGGCCAACCTGTCAGTATATGTATACCTCAAATTTTCGAGAAGGTAAATTCTTTTATGTACTGCTTATGACATAACAGATGTAATATGTTATATCATGTATGTACAACAATTAATTAATCTAAATACCGGTTAGGTGACACTTAACCATCAAATTACTGTGAATTAGTATGTGGCTAGTCAAGCTATTCATCCACACATGTTATTTTGCCATGTGGTCACTGAGAATCGATTGTGAGTGGTTATTGCTTTCGGATTGTTGTGGATATTATAGAATATCTGATAACATATTATTCCAGTCATATGTAAATGGCATATATACATGTAGTTGTTTGTGATGCCAACTAGTCACTGTCCACGGAGCGGATATCTGGGTATTTTCACTGTCACCAACTGCTATAACTCCAAAAAATGTACTTTGGGATGAGTGTAACAAAAACAGTGTTGGGAACAGTGCAACAAGATTACCCCGACATGTGCAACATATATATGTTTGGTTGCTCAGGATTACTTCAAATTTGAATTTGTGCAGTTTCCTTGACTTTAGTTATACCGGCTCGTCGACTGGCGTCCCACAACAGCTCGCTCAGAGACCATAGAAATACACGGTAGAGCGGTGTGCGCGTCTTTGTAACATACAATGGTATGTGACGTAGTTCCGCCTCTGATTTTTTTTATTTTTATAGACAGTTCCTCACTGCACTTTATTATTGGCTTTTGTCATTTTTTAAAATTATATCAATGATGGTACAATGGAATAATTACAAACATATTGTTGCAATGCCATTAAAAGTTACGCTATGTTTTTTTTCAGAACTGAAGTTTAGTCATATTCAAATGTTATGGCAGCATCAGATAATACAACAAGTGTAGAAGAAGGTATTGATAATTTTATATATACACATTAAAAATCAGAATATTTGATTGGATGGATAAGTGTTTGTTTGGAAGTGACGCATTGCACGCTGGAGCTTTAATAGTTGCCATTTATATAATGAACTATATATCTGGTCCACTTTTGAGTGAGTTGTAGCATTTGGTTAATCTAACTTCTTTACTAACGTCGAATCAACCAACAGATATACACTTTATCCAAAATGAGAACCTGTTTACGTTTTGAAAGAAAAGTTACTCACAGATATATGATTATGTTTCAAATACAAGAATCAAATGATTGCATGAAGAGATGCTCCGCTAAACTGGACATCACTTCGACTAGCTAGACTTATTGCCCAGTGCCAATATGCTCCCAACAATTTGCGTGCTAATCAATATCAATTCTTTAAGAGCAACTCAGTACTAAACCGGAAAAAATGTCATTCTCCCACATAAATTATCTCCTGTGTGAAGCATCTTTCGCCCCCATCTGTCTCTGACACCCCAATCCCGCACATAAACATTACTTAACATGTACAAAACGAGTTTCATTGTGTCACACCCTACAATGATGATGTACCGGTAGATTGAACCATAGTTCTGTGATTACTGTTATGATCTGGTATTCTGATCTAGCTATGCGTCCCTTTGAGGAAAAACACAACCACTGTATTGTATACATTAATATTTTGAACACTCCCTATATTGAGAATGCTGCATTACCCACCTTTCTTGGTCGACACTCAGCAGTTAAACGATACACTAATTGACTAACAAATATCATGCCAAACCTAGAAACAAAAAACAAGTTTTGGAAAGTTGAGGCATATAATCACTTCGTATAATCACCAAAACGCGAGTTTCTATGTTTCCATGTTTACCTTCTCTTTGTTTCACAAATTAATCAGTGAGTGTGCGTTTCGTGATTTTCTTTAGTGTTAGTATATTAGTAGTTCCCAGATTTGTTAGTTGGTGTCCTGGAAAATATAGCTCAGTTAAATGCAGCTTAGTATTAGTTTCAAAACTAATAACTGCTTGTCATCTATTAAGAACATTCAAAAGCAGACATTCAATCAATTTACATTAAACATTTACATTTTATTTACATTAAACCATAAACCATTAAAAAATCTGCATTACATTCTAGTAAATCAGCAAACTGAAATAAACATTATTTCAAAAGATATGTTGTATTGCGAAAAATATATACTGCAGTATCTTATTAGATTTATTTACAACTCTCCCTCCCAGCCTTCCAAGAAGCCATAGATGTGACAACTAATGCTTTACATCGTGATGAATGGTGGGGTGTTGGAAGACAACTCAATGTACCAGAGAGTGAGTTGAGTATTTTGAAGGAAGACTTCCCAGAAAACACAAGAGAACAAATCCATCAAATGTTCGAAATATGGAAAAGGAGTAAGGGGTGGCAGGCAACAATAGACGTCCTTGTCGGTGCTTTGGACAATATGGAATTAAAACATGTGGCTGCTTTGGCACAGAAAAGTAAGTTCTTCATTGGTTATATCATGTGTTACTTATCAGAATTGTAATATCTCTTTCGAAAATATTTTGATTAGAATAATTAAAGCGAGAGTCGACATCTGCGCATGCGTCAGATTACCATAGCGTGTCATTGTTCACAAACTACCGATGAGTCTTTGCGTTTTTAGTATGTGTTGTTGACGCTTGGGACTCAATCCCGCAGGTGACGACCCTTTTGAACTACTTTTTTTGCATTTAACTATTTAGAGTACAGACGGTTTCTTGACGCAGAAATTGGTAAAATGGTCCAAAGCAGTCGTGAAAACGTTATTGTATGTATGCAATTTGTGTTTTTAAATAAAAATTAAATATGCTTTATATTTGATAGTAAAGTGTATTGTGTTCCTGTATATCATTATAAGAGCTCCCAGCTCTTCTACCCATGGAGGCTTTTATTGAACTTGTCAGATTTATTGGCCGTATATTTTAGGAAAACTATTATTAACTAGTTTATATTACTGCTATTTACGTACTCGGTGATGTGTTGGTTTTATAAATAACATTATTAGGCTCAAATTTAATTTTTGTATGCAGGAAATTGGGGCTGATAAAAAAGTAATAATTCCAAAGAATGCTGTGTATAGAAAAGTGAGAATAACAGTGAGAGAAAAGAACTATGCTGATGCTCCTAGAATACCAATAGGTTTTCAGCCTCTCATGCCAAACGTGTTATGCCTTCGTCCAGATGGATGTCGTTTTCGACATGCCTTACACTTCTCATGCTCTGTTGATACACCTTCCGAAATGCCAATTGTCGTGGCACTTACAAGTAACGGCACTGAGCCATGGGAGGAACTGAAAGCATGGCAGGTATATATATTAAAATTGTATTAATTGTATTAAATTGATTGTATTAACAGTTACAGCAAAAGTTTTTTGTTCTCTAAATAATGGACATGGAATTGAATTACCATCTAAAGTTCCCTTAAAATTGTACTGTGTCTGTTTTCTATGTCTTTGTTTTGTACTTTCACATTTTCATTTTTTATTAAAACGGTGATGTTTTATACTGCCATAGGAAAGTGGTACAGTTTGTGTGAAGATAGAACACTTTTCATTATTGGCTGTCGTCTGCCGACCAGAAAATGCGTGTGACATAGAGGTAAATAATGTTTTGCATTTGTACCAGTATTATTATCTTAATGGTATATTCCCAAATGTTTTTATTTCAAAGTTGGCAGTGTATCGTCTTCGCAGTTATTTTCAGTTGGAAACGCTTACACTATTATTAATAGATTGTGACTGTGCTCCCACGTTGAGGCACAAAACACATTTAAGTGTGAGAAAGACTTATGGCATTTTCTGTAATTATTAAACATATCAGTGTTTCCAAACTAAATGCTCATAATGGTTTTATGCGGTTCAGCCACGTCAACTAGCTTTGATTTTTGTAATCCATTTCTAAACTTATACAACAAAAAATATCGTCGTTATATAACGCTTATGTAATTTTCATTGTACAAGCAATGTACTTTAATCAATATCTCAGCAGAATTAGTTTCCGCAGTTGACAGTTACGAATATGCTAGGCATTGTGCATAACGAGACTCTATTGGCAAAATTGCCAATTTCACCAATCACGGTATCGTGTCTCGTTATGCGGACACATATACTGCAACATTCGGGCAATCTTGAAGAAAGCTACCCAACCAATTATAGTAACTTGTCTGGCAGTACGACTGAATTCGCTTTGATATATTCAAATTCCACATGATTTAGAAACTTGAAACAACTATAATGGAAACGGCATGCCGTTAGTTCACATAATCTGCCATGAGTATACTCTAAATCGAAGTTCTAGTTTAAGTATAATAATTGTATTAATATAATCATATACATAATACATTAATGTAAACTAAGGAAAAAACTTTAAAAATAAAGATATACATACCAAATTGATAAAATATGGTACTTTTCTGGTTCTCATTTAGTATTATTTAGTACTGTTAGTTGTTATTATTATTATTGATTCCGTTGTTTTCGCTAATGTTTCAGGTTAAAGACAAGAAGCAGGTTTTAAATCGCAGGGAACGCGATGGTAAGATCTATGTAGTAAAACGTTTATTTTTAATAATTATACTACATCGTATTTCGAAATCTCGATATAATTAAAATTCAAAAGATAAATATATATGTCTGTAAAAATAAAAATTGCACTAGCATCAAGGTAAAATGTAACAGTGCGTATTTAGTACATTGCATATGTTTCATTGGATGTATGCGTTTGTGTTAGCGGATATTGAAAAGTGACATAATATAAGAAATTATTTTTGTTTAACCGATGAACACTAGAGATGATTTCTCGAAATTCATTGATTGTTTGATTTCAGCCTACTGGCATTTCAATATATGTTTTACATAGGGCAATTTACACAAATAACACTTTGTGTTTATGAAAAATAGTTGATAGTAAATTGTGCACTTTTTGTAACGCTGATATTGAAACTCTTGAGCATCTTTTTATTACATGTACTATTACTAGAAGACATGTGGTTATATATTACCTTAATTCAGTTAATCAGGCAATAGAAATCGCTACACAACGTCTCCCGAAAATGCACTGGAAGAAGGTTGGCAGAAAACTGGGACTGGGAGAATCAGACTTTGATAGTATTACGACTAAACATCCGCCGAATTTTCCCGAACAGAAAAGGGAGATGTTCAGCTTGTGGAGAAATAGGGAGAGGGAGGGGGCGACTACTGGACGATTACTGGCCGCACTCAAAGGGTCGGTTTTACACGACTTAAGTGAAGAGATCGAAAAAGCTTTGAAAGGTGGGTTGTATTGCGCAAAGTTGGCGAAGGCTATAAACTGTTGAAATATACGCGTGAATGTGCAATTCAATTTGTATTTTAAAGTAATCCCAGTGTGCTAATATATGTATAATTTAATTTTTTTATTTTATTTTACAGATCGATCTAGCCCAGTTCAATTTACAGCTATCAGCCAAGCGGCACTACTTAACCTCAAATAATATAAGATTCGACGACAGAAAACACAACTACATTGGATCGCACGTGTTTAACAAAAAATGTCCTGTAACATTGTGAAAAACAATTCTGATTGAACTACCCCCAAAACTTGACCTGATGTCTGTGACCTATTCAAATATTATTTAGCATTTATAACTAATGTACGAGTCAGTCAATTCTTAGATACCATATTTATCAGATACTTGCATGGATAAATAAGTATGTATAAATGCGTATTCAGAAACGTTTGACCTGCTTGAGAAACATTTTGGCTGGCTAACAAAAAACAGCTTTTATGGAAAACGGTATTGTCTTGCCTGTTTGCCTTTCTGTTTGTGTGATGTACAATTATTATCACTAGCTGTAGAACTGTATACAATTCAAATTACCCTTCAAAAAGTGTGTTTCACATGAAAAGTTTTCAAGCCATGCCAATAACAAACTCTGTTTTAAACTCGTGATCACATCTACTAAGTAAGTGGAGTATACTGCAATTTGTAATCTGCCTGGTTAGAACGGAAACATGGAGCGGCATTGTATGGTACACACTTTTGACCAAACGCGCGAAGGCATGTGTGGTATTGTGTTGACGTGTAAAGGTTTAAATATTTCGTGTGTATACGAACGAAATGCATTTATTTAACCAATCCCGCGGACATTCCTTGGCAAATGTATGTAAGTTTCCGCTTTTGTATTACTTGTAGCTCTAACAACTTATGTATTCCATTGTATTGTAGCAATGGGTTTTATAATTGGCAAGTATTTCTGTTTTGCAGTCGTTTTTAGCCTGTATTGCCGAAAAATGCTACGGATTGTACAGAAATACATTGTACACGTACATTACTGACATTGCTCTCTGTGCTATACAATGCGCGGTAAATTGCTGCCATACGTGAAAGTGGCTTTTGGAGCATCGTATACAATGTTTGTCCAATTATATTAATTGTTGCTTTTGGGGGGGGGCAGAAGCTAAAATTCTAAGGCAACATCGCAATAAACACGTGCTTGTAGAAATGACACACAATACAATACATTGGCCTACCCGGTCGACATTTAGCCCATCTTATTCTGAAAGCTCCCGATTACGAATCACACGTTACCGCCCTTTGTATTCATTGTTTAAAATACGCGACGTTGTAACCTGATACATGCTTTTATTATTCACGTACCACTTGCTTAGCTCTGTTGACATAGCGACCTACCACAAAGAGACCATTGACTTAACCTTAAGTACACAGATCACCATTTTGAATAAATAATAGACTCCTTTAATTATTACGTTACAAAATTCATTAAAACCATCGACCTTAGAAAACAGGGACATGCAACTTCTGTCTAAGACAAAAGAAAATCCAGTTTCCTGTGTGCAACGTGGGTTATAATCCCCTGTATAGATAATCGCATTAATACATATACCTATACATCTGAAACAGTTTTAGTTCTGACCTTTCTACGCTTTTTTATATGTTTGATAAGTTATGTTGTGCCAATATTCACATTTGTCAGTGTATAACGAGTGCACTATGCTATATCTGTTCTAAATATGATGAAAAATCTACTTGTTATAATGACACAAATTTTGACAGGTCATTGTTTATGTTTAGGCAGTTTTGTTTTCTTGTAGAGAAAACTGACCATTTTTATTTCCCTTTTCTGTTTTTATAGTGGAATAAAAACTGTTAACTTTGCAATTTTTAGTTTCACTCGTATCAATAGAATGGGCTTGGCTATTCAGTTTTAATCAAATGTAATTTTTCTGATTATATTCTAACCACAAAGTTGGCTCATTTTGTGTAGCTACTCCCTGGCAGCCATGTGTGGCGTATGTAACAGGAGAGGATGTAACAGTGGTGTTGACATAGCTTTATTGTCAGTTTCACTAAGGTGTTAAGTGGGTAGAGGATTATAACTAAGGTTACATGAAAAGGATACCCACAGCAGCATGTCCCTGTTTTCAAAAGTCTATGTTAAAACAAACATTCATTGTATTTAATTGTGTTTCATATTCTCAAACTTGACTCGCATCCGACACGGCGCGTTGTAGAATTGTGTCTGTTTAAAGTCCAATAACAATGCTCACTTATTAGTTAAGACGGCTGATAAAACGCAATAATATACAACAGAGGGCAATTTTGGGGGAAATCCCTTGGCACGTATTCAAGTTAATGTATAACACCGTTTTAGCTTCCGTATGTGCAAAGCACAACCAGGAGCTAATGTCAAGTCTGTTAAAAGTGTATAACATAAATACATATCAATTAAATACTGATTAACCGTTTCCATGCATGTTA